ACTCCCGGCGCCGTCTCTGGAAGTCTCTTCAGCTTCCTCCAAGCCCCTACCTACCTGCTGGGCTGTCCGCCCCAATCACTCATCCTGTCAAAATGACGTTGTTTAAAAAATCCATAAGACGAAGAAATTATACACTACTACACCCTGCATAACAGACGACATTGATTTTAGTACTTGATGATTAAACTTATTTCATCTGTGTTTCTGCCCTCCATACCGTTTGAATGCATATTTTATGATTTGCTAATAAATAAAGATTGATTCTCCTGCTGCTTCATTAGAACTAAACACAGTCAGTCCAGAGCAATTCTTGTGACTGAAATAGTTATTGTTGTTTTGCTACATGGCTAATGTTTTTTCTCCTAAAGCAATGTACAATTTACCTATTTATACAACTGGGTTTTTACCAAAGTAATTTGGGTACCTTGCTTAAGGGTACTACAGCAGCAAGCTCCACATCAGTGATCATCAAGCCATTGGCCATTAACATGCTCGAAAAGGAGTCAAGAAGAGGAGCGGTGCAGAGACCTGGATCCTGGGCACATTTTAGGGCTCAGAAATCCTGATGCCTGCATTCTCCACATTCCAGGCTCATACTGAGTCTTTGAGGGGAGCGAACACAGCAGGAAGCAAGCCACAAAGGCTCCACACACGGCTCCCGTCATCAGCAAGCACCGTGAAACCTGCGCGTATGCAGTCAGTCCACATAGGTGCCCCAAAACATGAGGTCAGAGCACTCAGGCGATGCAACTGAGCATCTTAAAGTGCTCTCATGCACCTCTGCAATTTCTCTGGATCAGCTGGACTGGATTTATGGCTAATTGTAGGAGCAGAGTGCAATCCACTGCATCACGCCCAACCAGGAAATAGGGGTCCTCGATGTTTCCTCTGAGCTGCCTGCATATGAACATTTTAAAAATAAGATCCTGCTTCCCCCACTCAACAGGCTCCCTCAGATATCAAAATATCACGAGTGGCTAACTTTACATGTTAGCAGCCGATATGCCCAGGGACTGAGTCAGGATGTTCTGCAGCATCATTCTGCCAAACGCAAAGCCTGAAGAGCCTGTGACAGACAGCACCTCTTCCAGCTTCCTTCATGCGCCAAGATGAACAAGAAGCTGGCCAGGAGAACTTTCATCCAAAATCACATTCTTGCACAATAGTTACTGTGAAGCCTACTACTTGACCATTAATGTGTATGTACTGAATGTATGCATGAGAATAGTATGCATGCATTTGGACACACTGTGGTAACCATCTTGCATATTACCTGACCTGAATGTTTACCAATAGGATAGCTTGACAAAATAGTATAGCCCCACAAAAGTGAAAAACTGTTTAAAACGATCAACAAAAAAAATCCTATTTTCAACTTATGTAAGTGGGTATTGTTTTCTACTGAATTTTTTACAAAGACGGCACTTCCTCCACCATTTTGATAAAAATTTGTGAGTGTGCGATGTTCATCATCTCTGCCTGCAGCTCCAGTGGTTTCGCAAATGTCAAAATCTAAACCGAGGATTTGGACATCCTGCTATGTCGCATACTATATTATGCATACTACATAGCCAATAAGTATGCAATTCTGGGGGCACCTATTGTATTACTAAATCAACGGCTTATTAACTTGAACTGTATAATCAATGTATAAGCCAGGACTCTAGGTCTTATCTGGCCCGTGATGAAGAGAAACACACATGGTCACTGCACGCCTTAATACTTAATGGAGGTTTAACAAGGCCATCTGTCTGGCTCTGATACGTGAGCGGCTGAGCGGTCTCACAGATCAGTCTGCTCCCGTCGTACTGCCCACAGATGATACCAGTCATGGGAGATCAGTACTGATGACCAGGCTGTTCCATCCCTGTTCATCCCAGCTCAAACGTTCTGTCGTGTTGTTCTGCGAAGCCCCTCAGCCACCTGAACAAGATCAGTAACAAGGACAGAGGGAAGTCAAAGAGACACTTTAATTCTACCTAGGTGTCCTTGGCTTTCCAATAATTAGCGCCTTGGACGTACACGCCAAGGTTTGCCCGTAAGGACACCATGACCATTCTGGAGCATGCCAAAACCCTCACGGATGTCCAGAGGGCTTTGGCCGAAGACTGAGGACGGGGGAAAAATATAACCCAAGACACGTCGGGAAGCCGATCAAAGGGAAGGCCGGATTCCACCTGAGCACTACCGGCTCCAGAGTAGCAGTCTGACTTCTCAGGCTTGACGTGGATCTGAAGTGAAATGCAAAATATTTCGGGGATGTTAACTTCAGAGCTCCGGCAGACAGTGGGGGGAAAAGCTGCCAGTGTTTGCTGTTCCCGCCTGACAGGAATCAGTCAGATCGCGTCCCCTCTCTGTGAAGGCTTATTTATTTATTTATTTGTTGATTTATTCATTTATTTTTAGCATAAACAAAAAAAAATGGTCTTCTGCCAAGGACAAACTCACCTCTTTATCACAGACATCCCCTGCACATCCACATTCTCTTTTTAACACCATTTTGAATCTTTGGTTAGATTTGTAGCTGTTTTTAAATGGCACCCTGGCATCTGTTATGGCTGGGGGTGAGGACTGGATCTCTAGGAGCAGACATTTCACCGCTTGATGGCAGCAGGTGGAATTAATCTTAACCTTGGTGGGATGAACCAATGGCTAAACATGCTCTGAGAAGAGTGCCCGCTCTGGGCCAGGTGAACAGAGTCATGTCCTCCAATTTTACCGACATCATTTTCTCTGCAACTTCCTCCAGTGGGTCCAGGGTCAATCCGGTGATGGAGCTGCCTTCCCTGATGAGATTCTATAGGTGTTTGGCATCGCTGGAACTTATCGTGCTTCTCCAGCAGATCACAGCACAGAGAAGTACTCTGGCCGCTGTGGCGAAATATCTCCAGCAGGTTGCTACATCAAAAGACCTGAGGTTCCTCAGTGGAGCAGGGTCTGCTCTGGCCTTTCTTGTGGACTCTCAGGTAACACTGCACCAATGAAGAACCCTGACATTACCACAGTATGTTTTTTAAGTAAAAAGATTACCTGTTTCCATAATACGTGCCACCTATATAAGGATGGAGAAACAAGTTCTGGGACTCTCCTGGGTTACGTCTCCATCTGTTTTCCATGCCCTCTTGTCCTCTGACTCTAGAGCCTATTCCAGAAGCAACAAGCACCAGGCAGGGAACAACTGAGAACAGGGTACCAACCCAGGGTTCGAATTACACAATGGGTATCGGAGGAGCCCTATTGTCCAGCGTGTGCCATGACTCCCCAAGTCACATGCACACCCATACATACAAGTGCGGCAGCACAGTCAATAACAGGGTTACTGTTAAAAAAAACATCCTACTATTACTAATGCCGGCAATTCATACCGTCAGTAACATTTCACATTGGCACAATATATTATTTTTTATTTCAGGAACCTTAATGTACACAAAATAAAATATATCCTATAACACAAAGGTGGACAGTTTTTAGACCCCCTCTAAAGGTCTCAGGGGCGGCTTTCAAGCTCCCCTGTAATTTGTACCAACCCATGCCAGGGCACCACAGAATGCTTTTGAAGAACCCAGGAGAAACTGCACAAGGATGCAGGGAGAACATTCGAACTCCACACTAACCACTGTGACACCCCACCACCCCTCCCTGCATCTTTAATGAGACAAAAATAACATCATGATACAGGCAATGATGTTACTGACTTTTTCTTTACATGAAAGACGTCACAAAACTACATGCAGACATTTTTCAATCACATACCATACATACAGACAATTCATTAACCCTTAAGCGAAGAAAAAGACAAGCGGAGATAGCTAATGAATGTCAATCCTGCCTGACTGATGCCATGTTTCTGCAGCAGAAGAATAACCCATTTCATTTTATTAATGGCAACATATCGCAAATAGCTCTACATTTCTCATCACAATTAAACTACCATGTATTTGCTTTGTGTGATTAAATTGGCGTATGGCCGGATGGCAGTGACATCGTCACGTGAACACCCACAGCAGTCATGACCTGGGTTGCGAACATCCAGCTAGAAGATCCCCCATGCCATAAAAAAGTTTCTTTAATGTCACCAACAACAGACCCAAATTTCTTCAGCTTACTGGCTTCTTCATCTCCCTCATGCCTCGAACCCAAACCCACCCAATTTAGAAATGATCTTTCCAAGTCCGGAAGTGTCCAGTCCAATCATGCTTTCAGAGTGTTTGACATAGGGGGTAGATCTGGGCATGATGCAGAACCTGCCAGCTTGCGCTCGCAAAGTTTGTCAGCAAACATGTTCCAGCTCAGAGCAAGGTAGACATTATTTCCATTTAAACCCCAAAGAGGGCAAAAAATGGTTTTTAAAAAAGCCTTTAAAAACATATCTATGTCTTGGTTTTGGTTTGCTACCAGTCAGTATACATGGTGTCCTCTCAAGTCAATGCCTTGCTGTTGGTGGAGATATTTTTATCACATTCATAATTACCTGTCCCTCCAATAACATCAGGAGCCAATGAGCACAATTTGAAATCAGCAGCAACGAACATGGGATTTAAGATAATAATCTGCGTGTTTGGCGACTTGAACGACTGTCCGATTTCACTGAAACATGTCCAAATGAAAAAGGAGCACATAAAATTCAGTGTGCTTTAGGATTACTGCGGATGAAAAGCAGATGTAATGTGTACAGCCTCTTCACTCATTTGAGCACGTATAGAAGGCCTAGTAGTGGAAAGATTTGTTCCAAAGGCTATGTCGACCCCATAAAACAGAATAAATCATCAGCGATCGTTTTACCGTACCATAATTTTATTGATGGAGTGTCGGAGCGATTGCGATTATTAATTGGCCTGTATGATTTCATACAAGATCGTCTGCGTGTGAAATCAGATACGCTTTCGTATTAAGTTTGTCTGCGTGTGTTCCTGTGTACGTGTGCGTGTGTGATGGAGGGAGGGGGAGAGGGGTGTGAGTAAGGGAGAGAGGCAAGCCGTTCACACGGCGCTTCTGCTTCTCCGGCGAGCTGCGCTCCTGTTCCCTATCCGGCGTTCAGCGCTGCGCAGTCCATCCGCAGTCGTCTATCTGCGCTGGCCAAACCCCCGCATCATGCCGGGTCTTTATCTTTTCTTTCTCTCTCTCTCCCTTTTTTCCTCAAATCCGTTCATCAGTATCATCATAACTTAAATCCTGGATGGTTAACATTGCTTAAAGTGTCTTAGAACATTGTTTTATTTACTTGTGAAGCCATGTAGGTCAGTTTTTTCTTCTTCTGCTGAACAGCAATTAGGATGCACAGGGTTTCGTTTGCTTGTTTTCTTTTCTCTTTTTGACCTTAGTCGATTTTTGTGTCTCCGTGCCCCAGAACAGATGCAGAAATGAAGGCGTTTAAGGCACGTCCGAGGCGTGTTCCGGCAGCGGTCGTTAGGTGTGAAGCCGGCCAAGTGCGCGAGACGCGCTGCGTTGCATGTGCAGCGCATCCATAGTTTCACAATTTGTTTGCTGCGGGAGAACAAATCGCCGGGTCTGGTCCGATCCATCATTTCGGCTCGGGGATTTAAAGAGTCGCTAAATATTCAAGTTCTTCAAAGCTTTACCTCTACATAAGGATCAACAGGATTTCTGATATGGGTAAGTGTGTTTGCATAAATTCCTTACTGAAATAAATACTACGCAAAAAAATAATAAAAATCAAGCCCTACGCAACTGTGTTTACCGGGAGGGTATTGCATTATACATTTTTCTTTACTATATATTCAGTATTGTCTTTCGTATGAGTTATTTTAACCATAACTATTTTTAGAGTCGATGGGCATTATTTAATTGTATATTTATGACAAAAACAATCGCACCACTAATCAGTATCATTTACGTTCGCTTAATATTTTCTCGGCTTACAGCATCTAACTTATTTACATCAAACGAATCCTATATACAATACGGTGACTTTTATGTGACAGCGATTTTCCGTGTTTATGAATGTAGTATTGACTTCTGGCGACTGAGTTTTTATCCTTTAGTGAGTGGTTTATCCCCATTTTTGATGTAGCGACTCTCACATCTGCATATCAGCGAATCATTGAACATGATCGTCGTGTGCCAGGTGCAAATATTATAAAAACCAGACGTTTTATTTTGTTTTATGTTGCAAACTGGCAAATGCATGTATGTTCCTCCAGAGTCATGTATAAAGCAAATACAAAAAAATATCATGGAAATATCTGTGTGCACTAAGTTCTTTTGAAACTGTGCATCAGGGAAGTGTTTCCGCATGACAAAATTGATGTCCTCTCTAGTCCTTTTTCGCGGTATCCTATCACGCTGATATCTCCGGTGTCAAGGCGACTATTGTAATTGGGCATCTTCCGACAAGTTACTGACAAGCCGGTGTCGAGCCTTGACGGGCACCGTGTTTACATCGTGCCCAGGTGCAGGGTCTGCGTGCCTCACAGCCCGCCCCAGCTCCGGCAGCAGCGCCTTTTCTTTACCATGTTCCATATCAATGTCGCTGCTGAAAGGGGGCGTACCTTAGCCTAGATTAACTCCAGTAGTCATGTAGGGTTTATTATTTAGAACTATTTGTTGTGAGTTCAATGACATGGTCAGGTGTGAATGGAACAGTTATTCCCCATTGCTTTAGTGCCCGGAGTGGCTCTTAACTTTAAATGGGTAATGTGATTGGATGCCACATTTCAGGCGCAGAATTGGCTAAGCAGGCACCTCTGTGGTCTTAAACCTACAGCATTGTGGGCTTGATTCTCACCTCTGGCTCTTTGCTTGGGCGCTTGCATGTTTTTCCCGTGTTGGTGTGGGTCTCCTCCCACATATAAAAACATGTGGTTTAAGTGAGTTGGTAAGTGCATTGTTGCAGGGGCGTTGGAGAAGCGTGGATACCCTGGCAGGCTCCGGGGGGGGGGGTATGGCAGGACTTGATAGGAGCCCTTGAATATGTAAAAATATGTATCACATTGGCTGGGGGGGGGATGCAAGGCAGGGTGACCAGATAATCCATGCAGCGTTGCCAACTATGGTCAGCTGGCTGGCGTGAGATTTTCAATTTCAGACAGGTCTACACACTCATTTACATGTATATAACAGTTTCATTAATTGTATATACACACGTAGCACACATATGTTGAAATGACATTGATTCCATATCAGACAAAAAGGTTGAAACAACGTTAATCTTCAATGTTTCACTTTATATCGACATTGAATCAAGGTTTTGCCACCATCAATTTTTCAATATTGAAAATATGACCAAAAATCAATTCAGTTTCAATGTAGGTAATATAACACTGACCATAATTCAACGCATTTAACTGTAATTCAACGTTGAAACAATAACATGGTGCTTTCTGGATAGTCTGTAGGGTTTGCGAACTACCACAACGCAATTCATGTGGCTAATTTTAGACTTATAATGTAATAATATAAATTTGCCGTAAGATTTCTTGCGTAACCATGAGAGTCAGAAAGTGCGAGTGTCACACCTGATGCTTAACAGCTGGCAGCCCCGTCCGTGTCAGACGGGACAGTATGAGCTACTTCAGGTTTTGTTAACTACCTTAAACCTGAAATGCTCCTGTGCTTCGCCAAATAGTTCAGTTCTTCTTATTCTTGGATTGGCTTGTTTATTTGATTGAATGACTCATCCAGCTGTTTCATATTAACAATAGTGACACAATAGTGATTAGTGGAGACTGACCAATCAGCACACACCAAGAATTCAGCAATTAAGTGAAATCCTGGTCATTTTAACTGGAATGGTAGTTTACAAATCCTGTTGCAGCCCAAAGTGTCCTCCATGACATGGATTATATGGTCATCCTAGGGCAAGGTGACATTTTGTCAGGAGGGCCAGAAATTCTAGGCATTCCCCTGGCTCTGACGGTGTACTCTGCGCTGGACTGGCATCCCGTGCAGGGTACCTGCCGCCCTGTGCTTCCTGGGATGGATTACTGTGACTGTACTGAACAAGAGCTTATGGCATATGAATAGCTATCACTACACATTTCCATATCGACTCTGCACTGCATTCTGGGCTTTTCGCCTCAGCCTGTGCTATGTGGAACACTACACTGGACTGAGTTAGACTCTGCAAAACTTATCATGATGTGCATGTAACAATAAAAGTGACACTTTAAATTAGTCACTCATTACCAAAGAGAGGTGACCTGGCAGTTGGATGAAATCAAGGCCTAATGAGGATAAATTGTCTGTCTAACTGTATAAACAGCGCAGATGTATGCAAATTAATTATTATTCATGTATTTAACAACCACCACTATCCCCAGTGACATCCACAGACTGAGAAGGGGAGAAAAACAATGCACATGCCAGTTTAAGACAGCCACAAGATGCCAATTTAACAGCGTTACATTTAGAACTCAGCAAGCAGTTAGATGCACGTTAAATGTCATTAACACACTGTCATTTTCAGCTGCCTGACTGATTAAGCAGTAAAGCCGTTAAAAATGTGAACATTTGCATTTCAAGTCTTGAAAGCAGTTCATTACTGGAAGGAACTGGTGGTGAACCAGTGTAGCTGGTAGAAACAGCAAGACCACTGGAACATTGGTCCTTCAGTTGTGCCATTGAAATGTAATGCATTGTTTAGTTTTTAGCTTCTGTCAGAGGTGCAGGGCAGGCAAGGGCCAGGGGAGGGGGGCCGCCGAGGGCGGCCAATTACATAGTACATTGCAATGACAAATCTGCTTTATTTGTGTATTCTGTTTTTCGCAGAAGTGATAACAAAGGTCTTGTGCTTATTAAATTCTTTTTGTTGATGTTATTAATTTACACTTCACACTAAAATAAAGGTAATAAATTTTACCGTGCCGGGGGAAGGGGAGTCGGGGGGCCCCATGAAATTTTTTGCCTAGGGCCCCCAGAGTCCATAGAATCGCCTCTGGTTTTAGTCTCAAAACGCGCCACACTCATTACCAAGCATATTATATTTGCTACAGAAGATCTGAGGATCTGTAGGATGGCAGGTCAATCTGAGCTTTAGCCTCAGCAAGAGAACTCATTGTGGATTATGTTCCCCTTTAATAAACTGGCATATTACAGTGCAGTGATAAATTATGGCTTATACATAACAGGTGGTGGTTTTGAACCTAGATGTTTGATTAAAATCGGGGCGGGGGAGGGACTGAGGTAACCTTGAATGTGGCATTCGGCATCAGTTTCTACAGAAAAGCATCCAGCTTTATGAATCCATCAGCTGTACGATAGCTGTGCTGCTTTGCAAGAGTGCCTGCTTGGCACCTATTACATTGCCGTAATACACTGTCCATGGCTTATCCCTGTTTTTCTAGGGAACGATTTCAGCGTAGTAGTTAATCATGCATTTGGATTCAGGCCATGTGAGTTTCAGAAGTTCATTACTCTGACACTCCTCCCCCCTGCATTGCATTCCAGGATAAATTAAAGTTACTAATCCTGTAGTAAAACAGAACAATTAGAAGCAGGATATACTGCAGAAAGTGCAAAACAAACAATTAGTAACGTATAGGCATTCATTTTTAGGATTTTTTTTTTTTTGCTTAGATTTTATTACTAGTATATCTGGTTACTATTATATCTGGTCATGCAGGGGGGTTTGCTTACTCTGATTTAGATGTTGCAGAGTTTACTGCAGTATTTGGAGTGACTTTTTGAATTAAGTTTCAGAATTCGGCAACTGATGTGTGAATGTGAAAGTTCTGCAGGTTCTACGTGTGCATATCAGGGTGATAATGCAAGTGTTCGGTGATCCTGGGCATTTACGGGGCCCGAGGATTTCCGGAGTAAGTTATGTAGGAAGAGTTGACTCATCTGCGGTAACTTCGGTGCCACAGAACTCTCCCAGGTACCACAATTGACTCACAGTATGGTCCCGGGGAGGGTCAACGGTTACTCTGAGCCGTTGAGGAGCTCTCTCTCTCTCTCGCTCTCTCTCTCAGCAAAAAAGCTGCCTGTTCATTCTTGAGAAGCAGCCCTATTGCTGTACTCTAGAAGGAAGTGCTTGACTGGAATTTCTTTAGCAAAATATCCATTGAATGGATAAATATGTTTAAAAAAAACCCCTGTAAACTCTGAGAGTCCCTTGGATGAAAGTATCTGCAACACAAATATATATTCCAGTATAACCTTTTGTATGCAACACTTTTCTTAGTACGGATGGAAGAAGAACGAATTTAAGTCACCCAGCTATCTGTAGACTCAGCTAATATTTTACAGGTGAGCAATTCTGGGTTGAGTGGCATGCAGGTGGAAGTCTATTACCTGGCTGAGACCTCGCTGAGGTCTTATAATTGTGTTTGTTCACGCATGAAACTTGGGGATTAGCCTGACCTGCAAAGCAATTTTGGACACAGTGTCTGTGGTTTTTGCTTCTGTGGTATCAGACATACATGACTGGTCTATTTGCTAATGATGTGTCAGTCACTCAAGGGACCATGAAAGACTGACCCCAGAAGAAGTTGGCTCCATACCTCCTCTGTTGCCTGGCTTTGATGTTATTGCCCTCTTGGGTTCCACTCTGTCATGAGGGATATCTGTATTTCTACTTCCCAGAGCCCTTATTGACAAAGTGCTGGAACCGCGCACTGGGAAATTACCGCCTTGGCAGTCTGTGTGGATCTAAC